TATATATATATAACTAATTATATCATTTCCTGTGGTGGATTTAAATTGCTTTGATTTTTCTAAATTACCTAAGGTTGTAAATTTCTTCAAAATATTATCAGTAATAATATTTAAATTAAACTAAATTTGAATTTGTTTTTCCTGTTGCTGATCAAAAAGGGTAAATGGAAATGCCTTTCATTTGTCTGTTCGTCTTGTGGCCTTCATAACTTGAAAAACAAGCAACGTGGGATTCATGCAAACCCATTGATTGGGTTGCCAAAATACAAGATGGCCACCACCTAATAAGTATGCTGTATATGTAAACTTACAACTCAGATTGTTTGAGGAAACTATTCTTTCCAGTTTTTATTGCTTAAAAGTATATGGTAGTTTTCTCAAGTGATTGGGGTTGCCAGTGGGGTGGTCAAAGATTCCCTGTATTCTAAGCACCACTGGCCACCCCCTGACTTCGCCATAGCTTCTGGTGGTGGAAAAATGTATTCCTTCTGCTCGCCAGGATTCATCACTCTGCATGACCTCAGAGAAGCAAGAAAAAAGAAAACTACCTCTCACTTTATACACATTGTCTAGCATTAAAAAAAAAACATTCAGGTTTACTTACATTCCTTGTTGAACATCTAAAACTATTTAGCTAAATACATAATTTCACAAATAATAAATGTGAAGAAGAAAGTCAGTGTTACAGTTTTTATTTTATTATATTCATGCTGTAAAATAATATAAAAAACATAAAGAAAAACAAACAAAAACTGTACCTCACTTCCTTGTAAGCCGAGCTACCATGACCAGCGGTGAGTTGATTTACTGTATATTTAATGAGATCTGGTGTGAGCAGCTTTGATGTAAAAGTTTTATTGTTGAATGTGTCTTTACCCAAGGTCTAGAATCATGAAATGTGCTCGGTGAATGTTTGTGACCAGTATTAATAACGTCAATGACTTGTTTCGTGTCAGCTCCATTATATGGCCCTGAGTAAATTGAATGACCTGTTCAAGCACCCGTTTCTCTCACCCTTGACCCCTGTACCCATAAGAAGGACCACATGAAGTGTCTTGTGGTATAGAAATTTAATACATCTCATCCGAACTTGCTGTTTTCCTTCTTAAAAATC